GGGAAAGAAAGAAGGAAGGAATTTTTGGGAGGTGATGGGAAAGTAAAAATGGGAAAGCGCAGGCCAGGGTCGAGTCGGGAATCGAACTCGAGATCTCCGGGATGTGAGTCAGGCGCTCTACGCACTGAGCCACCGGAGGTCCCAGGCTCTTCATATAATTACGATCGAACATCTCTCCATGAGATCGTTTGATCGCTCAATTAATGTGTATGTTCAGATTGCTTTGGCAATCGTCCGTCAATCGACGGTTGACGTTTAGCAATCATAATGGATGGATCATTAAAGATAGATAAAAAATGTTTAAAAATAATTAAAAAGAATTTTCAACTACCGTCTCACGCGCGCGAAGTGTTTCGAAAAATTGTGTTCAAAATAATGAGCCAATAATTTCAGCTTTACAATTGAAGGCTAAAATTGAAACCAGAAAATGCAGATAAAATCATTTTGACTACGTACATTTTGCACATATATCTCCGAGACTATAGTATTATTATAGACTATGCGCATAATCATAGCTCTGACATTGATTTGACAGAATTTTTTATCACAGAACTCGGCCGTGTTGAATGACAAGACACAATAAATTAAAAACTATTATATAAGACTTTACATAAAAGAGTTTTAATGTACGACAATTCTTTTGAAAACTTTGGCGCCCTCTATCTCTGGTATTTTTTGAGTCACCGCAAAAGCGGATACACAAAAATTGTAGAGAATTGAGTCCTCTACAAGTTTTATTTGAATATTTTTTTGATAAAACCAACAGGGGGCAATGTAATTGTCAATAAAAATGTTTAACCCCTAATTGACGGCATTTTTTTGGTTGTAACTTTTTTTCCTTGACAGCTATTAAAAAATTTTTCAAACAAAAGTTGTAGCAAATATTTTTTCCTACAAAATTAAAAAAAGGAAAAAGATTCGACCAATAGGAGCCGAGATATCCAAACTTACCCCTATTTTGAAGATGGCCGCCGACGCACAGGGAAATTTTGTTGGATCTACTTCCAGGTTGGCTCACTCGACGTTCGTCGCGTAGCGGCGCCGCTCGGAACTATGCGCGGACGCGCGAGCAGTGATGCCAGAATTGTCAGTTTGCAACTCGATATTCGGTTCTAAGAATTATATGCAGATGGCTTTAAACGGACTCCGCCACCTCAGATGCTTAGCCTTGAACGCTTAGACTAGATAATGCATTGGAATGTCTATCTCAATATTTCCAACTGTTGAAAGAAATAATTTTGTGCAAGTCATTTCAAATCATATTATGTAAGTATTTTTTCATTAAGTACTTTTTGAGTTATTTAATATCTTAATCTGACATATTTTGATATAAAACATATAATATCTCGTAAAATATTTAGTTTTCGATAATCTTACCGTAATACTTTTATGTACAAAATAATGAGTGAAATCAACTAGTGTAAAAAAACAAATTAAAAAATTAATAATTTAAAAAATACATTGGAAATAATTACATATTTTTCTTAAAAACAATTTTTTTTATACTAATTGATTTGTCTCAT